GAATTTGTTGGCTAAGGAATGACACAGATGATCTTTCACAGTTGAAAGAGTATGTCACTGTTGCAAGTGTTTTGGAAGGTAATAGCATACATGTCTTAAACGCCACCAAATAACGCACTGGCTTTCACAATAAGACAGTGCTGGGCAGTACAGGACTGAGTATCTTATTCCAACGCATGTGAAAGTTGGCAAATGCTTATGGAGCAGTTGATCAAAGCAAAAGGAACAAGTGCAGTGAAGTGTGCACAGGAGGAGTAGGAGTACAAACTCATATTCTGGCACACAAAATGCATTTCTCATATGATGTTTCTGCAGAAAGGGAGGTGGCAGAGCTTTAGTCAATCATCAGGTTTGTCTGGATTGGTGCATGTACCACAGCATAAATTAAAAGCTGGGAGGAGAGGGCAGAACACCACTTTTTTCCCCATCCCCCCGAGAGAAACTGACAAAGAGTATGAGGAAAGAGCTCCTCAAAGATTCTAGCTTAATATATGCAAAGTCATTAGCAGGGCTCAGCTATCAACAGGACTTTGCTACTTTGCCACACTGCTGTTAATGCATTACTTGCACTCATCTTGCACCTGCCTAGTGCACAAAATAGGTAAGATTTTGTTCAGTACCTAAAGAAAGGATACTTTCTAATCACTAACAGCCAACAAGCAACAGAGTTGCAAAAAACATTTGTATTGGTACAGAATCATCCCACAAGAAAATGATGCTTAGAAGTATTTGTTAATAGGTAAAAAAAAAACCTATTCACAGCATGTTTGCAGGTAGGGTTCAAAACAAGCTGTGTGCAACAGAATGGAGCCAATGTTTGAACAAGCTAGCTGGCAATAAATATGAACTTTATTATATATAACAAAAGCATATTACATAAAGACATTGCCTCACTTGGAGTACTGTGTGCAGATCTGGTATCCTAAACATAAAAAGGACATGGAACTGTTGGAACAAGTCCAGAGGAGGGCCACGAGGATGACCAGGGGACTGGAGCACCTCCTGTATGAAGACAGGCTGTTCAGCCTGGAGAAGAGAAGGCTGCATGGAGACCTCATAGCAGCCTTCCAGTATCTGAAGGGGGGCTATAGGGATGCTGGGGAGGGACTCTTCATTAGGGACTGTAGTGATAGGACAAGGGGTAATGGGTTAAAACTTAAACAGGGGAAGTTTAGATTGGATATAAGGAAGAAGTTCTTTACTGTGAGGGTGGTGAGGCACTGGAATGGGTTGCCCAAGGAAGCTGTGAACGCTCCATCCCTGGCGGTGTTCAAGGCCATGTTGGACAGAGCCTTGGGTGACATGGCTTAGTGTAAGGTGTCCCTGCCCATGGTAGGGGGGTTTGGAACTAGATGATCTTAAGGTCCTTTCCAACCCTAACTATTCTATGATTCTATGATTATTGCAGATTGCCTGATAAAAATGATACAACCTTGTATCAGGTAAAGGGTACAAATCTGAAAGTGTCCATTCAATTCAAATATATTTGGAGCTACAGTAAGAGACCTAAGTTTATAATATGGCTGACTGGAAAAGCAAATAGACAGCAAAAAGCCTTTCCAACCCGCATTATTCTGAATGTACCACATACAGCTTTTGTGAGGTAGTATGCACACTTAATTAAAAAAGACTGCTTATTGATCTGAAATTCAGTTTTATGGTGAACAAGAATAATGTAACAAAACCCTTTAAAAATCTTAATTTCTCATCCATTGCATTTTATACAGGCAACACAGTGGGCCACTATTTAAATTATCATAAAATGCTTAGATTTTTTTCAGTTACAAGTCTAAATGTGTTTAATACCACACAGTGAGGGACTGGGTTGCTTGTTTTGTTGGGACTTTTTTGCTTCATTAATAGTAAGAGCCATCATTATTAAGGATGTCCTTATTGCATAAGGTAGTGTAACTTCTAAGTGAGTCCCTTTCACTAGCTCCACCGGAAAAACACGTATTTTCAGAGGGCTGGAGCACCTTTCCTACAAAGACAGGCTGAGAGAGTTGGGTTTGTTCAGCCTGGAGAATATTCCAGACCTCAGAGCAGTCTTCCAGTACCTAAAGGGGGCCTTACAAGAAATCTAGAGAGGGACTTTTTACAAGGGCATGTAGGGACAGGACAAGGGGGAATCGCTTTAAATTGGGTTAGATTTAGGTTAGGTATTAGGAAGAATTTCTTCACTGTGAGGGTGGGGAGGCACTGGAACAGGCTGCTCAGAGAAGTTGTGGCTGCCCGCCCAGCAGGGTGCCTGGCCTGGTGCAAGGTCAATGGAGCTCTTGGAATACGTCAAAACCACGTGTACAGTGTAAAGGACTGTCTCCCAGGGTGGGAGGAAGGTTCTCCAGGACAGCACAGCCTGTTGCAAATGAGCCTCCTCTTTGCCAATCCAGCACTAGTGGCAAGTCACAGGAACCCACTGGATCACCTAGCCATTGCTCTCTGCCACTGGGTGCACCTCTGAGTGCCCAAGACTAGGTCAAAGCCCCTCTCCTGGCACACTCATCGATACACAGCTATGTTGAGGACCACACAGTTGGTAAAGCATTTGGCTGAAGCAATGCAGTAGTTCGCATTTTCCTGTCTTTTTTTCCCCCCAAGCCTTACTTTAGGTAGAACAATCCTCTATCTGACATGTATCATCAGCAACAGTGATCTTGCCAAAAGGGTAATAAAAATCAGAGACCATCTTTAAAGAAATAAAGTGCTTACAGATTGCAGGTGGAAGGCAAACACTTGGGATCATTTTGAATTCCAGTACAGCATCACCTCTGCTCTCCCGAACTGGGCATGCCACCCAATGCCACTGCACGTGGGAAGGTGAAAGCACTTTCAGGCAGCAGTTCAGTGCTATGAACTACCGAAGTGACCTACATCTCCACACTTCTACAAAACTGGCCTGCTTACAACTACAGTGTGCAGGCCTGGTTACACATAACTCTCTGTGCGAGCTGACAGAGAGGGCAACAGAGTTCTCGCATTCAAACCAGGTATCTCAACATATGTTTTTCCTAAATCTCTCCCTGTCTTGTCTGAAAGAATGTGGTTTGAAAGAGTTAAGATTTGCTTTTACCACAAGGCAGGATGGAAAAACCCGGACTGTAAAGCAGAAAGCTACTCCAAGCACTTCAAAATGAACACCAAGGTTTTACCGCAACCTGTTGGGTTTTCCCCCACTAAAGGAAAGGCTGAAGGAAAAAGACGATGGGTTTTCATTTTTTTGGATCTTTTTTATTCAAAAGTTTTCAAAGAAATAAAACAGAAAAAAGCTAACAATCTAATCAAATTTACAGTTCAAAAATGTCTTTTGGCGTTTAACAACAAGTCCTAGGAAACAAAACTACAGAGTTATCTTGAACCGGACAAATAAGTTACCACTGGCAAGTTTGTGGCACTAGTAAAACAAAAATAAAAAATTAACTCTCTTGATCATATAGATATCTCTATGAAAATCTTTTTTTTTTTTTCAATCTGTACAAAAGGTCTTTCTTCATAAATTAATTTTTTATAATTTAATGGCTGTCTACTATGTGATGTTTAAGTAACTGATTATTTCTTTATGTACAGAGGTTAAATTTCCCAAATCTTACCCAGACAATGAGTATGGCACTTAGTTCAGACATTTCTGGCAGCAGCTCTTCCCTCCCTCTAACACAGCTATCATACTGCAGTTTTAATTAACGCAAAAATATCAAGTAGTGAGAGATCCAGGTTTGGAAAGTTACCAGATACAGGCAAGGTGCTGCAGGAAGTCTGGACTTTTACAAAGCAGTAATATTCCAGGGAGCATAGAACCAATAATACCACAACTTCTTAAAAAAAGAAAAAACAAAAACACATCTCTTATGACTATGTATTTCACTAGAATCTACACTTCTCAGAGCAGCAATTTACTTTTGAAACTATGAAATGTCACCGACATCTATACTCCAATACTCACACAAAATTTAAAAACTAAAAAATACTTGAAAGAAACAACTGCTTAGCCCTAGCTCCCGAGCTAGGATGATTTGGTCTGTGGAAACAGGGAGGGCCAGCAACCTGTCCCAATACAAAAGGAAATAAACTTTGAGGTAGATAACTGATCATATACAGCTGACCAGAGAAGTACACAGTTTTGGAAGACAACTTAATTTATCATTCGATTTAAAACATATGCAATTGTAATAAAGAGCTTTAGTAGCAGTGAATTATCTAATATGTGAAGTACAAATAACTGTGTATTTATGAATCAGGAATTTCATAGTTTCAAAATTGGTTTTCTTTACACTTAACACTTGTAGTGATGATGTAAAGTGTGGCACTGCTTGGATCCAAGTCTTCCTTCATGCTTTTGTGTCCATACGTCAATTAAAATTATAAAACCTAAATGCAAATGTACAAAAAAGGCACATTCTCCTAACCGCAAACTGGTCCGGCAAAAATAAAGAGTACAGAAGACGTAATGCTGAGACAAATCAGAATTATTGGTTACTGGCTCTTTGTTCTTTGGTAAAGTTACCTTTTAAAAGTGCCAAGTCTTTTTATTTTTATTTACCTACTATAGAGAGCTAGTACCCAATCAATTATGCTTCTACTTACATCTCAGCGTATGTTTGAAAACAAGTCCTTTAGCTTTTGCCATTTTGCTGTAATAGCAACTTTTCTGTTTGCTAAGTCTCAGCACAATCCTCATCCTAAAGCACTATCATTAGTATAAAGGAAGGACAAAAACATTCGGTGATATCTCCACCCCAAACTCCCTACTCTACCTATGCTAAAACTAGAACATCAAGTTAGTTTCTGAAAAAAGGCAAAAAAAGATTTTACATTGCATCATACAGCAGAGTTCCTAAATCATTCAAACTACCAGAGGGAACTATTGGCATATGGCCTTACAAACAATTTATCCTATTAAAATTTCCCCAGTCAGAAAATGTGTTTCACACAAAACATTTTTTTCCCTCTTGCATTTCACTACCTTACATATTATGTGAAAAATCATTAAAAACACTTACTACACATTAAAAAAGCCAAATTTTCAGCAATTTTTATTGACTACCTTTAAAAGCCCTATGCTGCTGTTTTACAAGGCATAATAGACCAGCTCATTTGGTCAAAGCATTCTACACCATTAGTTTGGACTACTTACTGAAACAGCTACAGCATTGAAAGATTTAAGGCAAATTGGAATTTATAGAAAAGGATAAGACACTTCACACTACATTAAAAGAAAAACAGAAAGCTAAAAGACCAGACACTATAATTGCAACACTGCACTAAAGCAACACTCACACACTGCAAGCACAGAACATCGTCTTAGATGTTTTACTATTTTAAACTTCAGAAAACCCATTTCATACAATTACAAAAAAAAAAAAAAGGAAAATAAAAAAAAAAAGGAAATTAAAAAAAAAGAAAACAACAAAATAAAAAGAAACCAAAACACAAATTCTGTCATGCACATGAATAAGTCTTCGTGGTCATCTGTGCATACCCAGAAATTCAACTTTTTTTTTTTTGCGTCATAACACTTGATAAAAATTTTTTTTTACTAAAATAAACCTGTTCATGGGAACAGCTACTAGATGAATTTAAGGTTTTTCTTATGCACCTTATAGAACTTATAGCAAAAATAGTTTTAGTTGATTTCATTATAAATAACATTTTCAAGAACCTGTGCAAAACTGTCAATAATTCCTAAAGCACAATTGATCAGTAAAATCCATGATTGTTTCAGCCTTTGCACCCTTCTCCAGGCCAGGTCAACACTGGACATCTGTAACACAGAAAGGTCAGAGCTAGAGCAGAGTTACAATTGCACCCCTTTTTTTCTTATGTAGCTGTTGACAAAACTAAAATATTTCCTATTTTAGAGAGCTGTGAGAAGAGTAAGCGAATCCAAGTATAAATTTGAGAAGTTAACACAGGTGGCAATACAGGTGCTTGGCCCTTCCCAGGATAAGGGATATCTCTGCCAGGATACAGCCTGTATTGTATTTTCCCCCCTCTTATCTCCAATACCTGTTCAGCATGCGGAGTTCCCACTGGGGAACCCTGAGACTGCATTCAAAGCTATTCCCTTCTTTGTTGTTTTGTTATTGTTGTTTCCTTTTAATTGACCAAAAGTGCTTGAGTGCGTGAGCTTACTCCCGTGGCATCTCCAAGGCTTTTGATGTCTGGAAAAAGAACACAACTTTCTTTTGGCGAAGCCTCAGGGAGGCTATGTACAACAGCTTATGCAGAGACAGCTACTGTGCCTCCATCACTGCTAATACTTAACAGCAACTCAGGGCTTATTAAACTTGAAGGAAGACTTCTCAATTTACTGCACTGGCTTATATTGCCATATGGATTAAAAAAAAAATAATACATGGCTAATGAAAAAAAGTTTAGTCAATTGTTGAATTTCTCCACCCAAAACAAAGTCTGCTATTTTAAGGCTTGTACATTTACAGGTGTATATATAATTATAACATGTTTTTCCTCTCAAGTCCCTTTGACTATTTTCACATGGCAACTTTCTGAAAAGAAGCTATAAAGTGATTAAATGTAGCTGACAAAGGAAAGACACTATATATCTTTGATTGACTGCATCCACTTGTGCCAATATGCTAGATGTCACTTACTCCTTATTTATGGCAATATGCATATTGACTTTTAATAGGACATTCCCTAAAGTGCTGCATGTACATTTAGACTGAAGTTTCAGTTTGAAAACAGTGACAAAGCCACAACAATTTAAGAGACTGCAGTGTATTTAGGGCAAGAAATAACTCTCAATTCCCTCCCCTTCACCTGTCCAAAAACCGACAAGTACCAACATGTTCCAGGGACAGAAATACCAAATGCCATACTCTGAGGCTGAAATTAGCTGAGTAATATTAACCTTCCCCACGTGCTCACTGCCATAGCCACTGCTGACATAGATTCCCCTGGCTTTCACTGCATATAAATACAGATAAAAGTACTTCTCTTAAGAATAAAATATATGGAGGATTGATTTACAGCAAACGAACAGGACTGCTCACAGAGCTTGGTATTCTACATGGTTGTAATTATAAAATGTGTCTCAGATGGGAACACACCTCATCCTTTCAGGAGACTGTTGCCTGGTCCCAGTCTATGGGAAAGACACTGACAGACTGGGAGAGAGAGGCAGGATGGGGAGATGACATGCAGGATTACACTTCATCATCTACCACAGATCTCTACTGGTAAGGAGGTTTTACATGCCCACAGGGAAGACTTAAGGCAAAACAAATAATTCATTGAAAAGCAGCTAACACCAGCCAACAGCCTTGGCATGGGAAACGTGCAGGAGCCATGATTTTAACACCAGGCGATGGATAAGGGGAAGAGTCTGTGGCTTTGTTTTCTCCCTGCCCTGGAAGCAAATCAAGGATATGGGCTTTCTCTAGATACCAGCATTTGGCTTGACTACAATAATAAACACAGGTCATGTGTTGCACTGTGCAGACTGGTGCCTTCTGTTGAATGTGCAAAGTTTTCTCATTGGTTTGTTTCTATCTTTACGTTCTCGAACATGTAAAAAGTTGCTCTGCCAAAAATGGGAATGAGAGTATTGTTGTCAAACAGCACATCTGACCTGCAAAATCCAAGGTAATGCCAAAACGTGTGTATTGTTAGATCTATGTATTTTAGGGGGAATATCACACAATTGGAAATTCTTCACACATAACTGATTATCATATTTTAGTATCTAATAAATGCTGTGAAAGCTGCAGAAACCTGTTCTTAACAGCATCTGGAACATTACTGCAACAGAATAGAATTTTTCACTATGAGATCTTCGAAATTTGATTAAAATGATTTTGTATTCAAGCTGCCTGGTTTACAAAGCACTTTTAAAAGATGAGTTAAGAAAGAATTAAATCCCAGAATTTCAAAATATGAAGGATGCAGAAGGGAAGAGTTAGTGCAAATATTTTCACACGCTGGCAATCTACAGAAAGCAAAGATTTTGCATTGAAGGAGGCTCATGTGAAGTTAATTATTGGTTAGTAAAGGCCATGCAAAACTGGAGCAGGAAAGTGAAACTCTGGAGTTGGAGACAAACAAGGATGTGTTTTGACAAACAACTGTCAAAATTTTGGATCAAACTGCTTTTTGCTAGGGTAAAGGATGAACAGGGAAGTCCGCAGGAGAAAAGGTCAAGCAAGGATGTCTACCAGCTTAACTCCATGCCTGTGGTCTGTTAAGTCAGTTGCAATGCTGCTTCCAAATCTTACCATGTACCACAGAACTAGTGGATATTTTATGTGCAAATACAGTTCCCTTTCTCATCGTGATTCTCATAGTTTTGCACTAATTCATTGTTATTCTTGTATATAGCACACTGCCAAGATGAACAAATTAAAATCCAACATAATCCAGTTATGCTATAGAAAATTATTAAAACTCTATTACTCATAATTCATTAACTGACTTCTAGAACCTGTGCTTTCCTTCCTGGCTTCTAACTTTGGCCAAGTTCAAATTAACCTCACTGCCTGTCCTCAGAGTTATCGATGTTATTTATATGACATTAAAGAAAGAATTAAAATTCAATACAGAGCACTGCAGGTTATGAAATAAAGTATCTCTGAATTCACATCTTTCATGTGACAGGATGAACCCCTACCTCACAGTTACTTATTTTGCTGATACGTATATGGAGAATGGTCACTGGACGTCTCTACTGTAACTTGTTGCTGACCACTGGCTTCCTGCAAATAAAAAGGAAGACAAGACATGAGACAAAAAATCAGGCAGCATTAGCTGCAATCTGTATTTTGATGTGACTCATGCAATTAGCAGTCTTCAAATCTAAAGTCTAGTTTTTCTCAAGTGGGGTATTCCAAACTGGAGATGTTAATTTTGCACTAATTTACATTTCAACAAACAAAGAAATAAAATGATCAAGCAAATGTTGTGTTACCCCAGCTGCCTTGATAACTAAAATAAACCACAAACCTTTAATATTATAAAAATAAATACACAGAGCAAATAACTACTAGTACATTTTCTACCTGAAAATGTTAAAGATCATTCTGCCCCTCTCCTTCTGAGGGTCAGCGAGAAGAATATCTACTTACCACATGTACAAACACTATTGCTTTAAGTACTGTAGTGTGACTGGCACTAGGCAACACAAAGAACTGTAGCCGGGACTTTGCACACAGACCCCCAAGAAACCAGGGAATTAATTCAGCTGATAACGCTCTGGCAGACAGTGCTACCAGCTATTATCAAAAACCCTTATCTGCATGTGGGTAGATGAATAAACTGAACCAAACAATTTCTAGAGTTTCTGGGCAAACAGACTGAAATAAAATGTTTTGCCTTACAGGCTCTGGAAGAGACTATCTAGCACTCATTGTGAATACAAGAGCTGCAGTATACCAGCTCCTCTGTTAACGAAGTGCTGACCTATGAAATGGTGTAAGATATAGTAGACAAACTATTGTGTACCATTTACTTATGCTTTTCAACTGGACTTGCAGAGGAGTTTTTTAGGCAAATAGCCTAATAAACAAGTATCCTGAGATGCCAGGGTAAAAATCAGGATTCTTTGCTAAAAGTTATAATCATGGTCTGTTAGCAGAGAAGTCTGCTCACAGGAAAACTAAATGAAAGAAACAAAACTACAACATACCCTAACGTTTTCCTATTGGAAGTTAGGCTTCAAAACCCATAAAGCTCATCTCAGTTATGCTCATATGGAATACTGCTTCAAGTACTGTACTGCTACAAGTACAGGTCATTCTTTGTTATGCTACTATTTATATTAGTAAATAATAATGGTATTTTATAACTTTAATATACAGTGTATTCACAGTGCACTCACAGTTACAATGTTAGGCTTTAAAAATCAAGTTTTCTAGGAATAAAACAAAACAAAACCCCCCAAACCTAATATCTTATTCATGTCTCCCATCTCTGGTCTTTTATAAAATATACTGACCTCAACAGGAACTGCTGCTGTCTGGACATGTGTATATTGGGGTATGTAGGCTCCTTGCATAGCTGTTGTGGCTGGCATGTACTAAAAAGACAGGGAGTCCATTAAGTTGAGTTCAAGCTCAATGTAAATTTAAGAGTACTCAAAATATCTATCATGATATTGTTTAACAGATATTAACTGTTTCCCTAAAGTAATATACATGAGAAAAAGACTTTTGTGTTTGACATCAACAGGCTTTTCAGAAACCTGTTTCGAGAAAACTCAAATTTAGACTGCAAATACGGTGTGAAGGACTTTTCTTTCTCTGTTAATCCAAATCATCATCATTTCTCCTGAAGAGTAAAACAACTATTTTTCCCTTTCCAATACAACTTTGGATCTGTCCCCTAAGTTCCTTTCATTTGGTTTGATCTATTTTCATTTATTAATTTCCAATTTCTGATCATGTAATAGACTGACAAAAAAGAGCTGAATAAGATTTAAAAATGGAAGCAGCTATTAATATTTTACTGGATAAAAGACTGAAGGACTACTTTTCCCTTGTATGCAGGCTGAACATGCATACTGTGATCTACATGCAGTATTTTCTACTTGTGTAAGTTCTAGTTCGTATTCAATTGCTACATACTGTTCCAGTACTGCCTAATGAAAGATGACTCATCTGCTGTGTCAGAGGGCTTATCATCGATGCAGGCTGTAGTGACATGGTGTGGTCCATGGAGGGAGTCAGTACAGCACCCTATTAAAAAACAGAGAAAGAAGGAAATGGTTGTGGCAACACCTGGATTTTAATTACATTTTGCATTTGAAAGTCTAAGTCCTTCCGATGTGACATACCACAAGAACTCTCCGTAGACCGAGACACTGACTCAGGGAGTAGGTCTGGGGCATTCTGAATATTCTACTTCAGCAGATGTGTTTTGTACAGTTTGGGAATGGGTTAACAACTACATTGACTTCCCATTGAACACACAACTTAAGTACAATGCGCTTGAGACACATGCTAAAAACACTTTGTAAAACATGAGTTTAACCAGATGCTAACTTTACAGCAAAAATCTACACGTGCTGCCACAGATTCACTCAGGTTAAGCTTTGCAATTTCAGGCTTTAGGAAGAAATTCTCATCCTTAAGAATGAAGGCTTTGGAAGAACATTTGTATTACGAAAATTCTACCTGTCAAATGTGAAGTTCACATACAAGACAGCTGCCCACTTAATGGCTGGATTCAGTAGAACACACATTCTGGAAGAGCAGGTTATCAACACTGACTCTCTGTCTAAATACTAGCTGCTGTGATGATCTCTATCACTCCTATACCATTTCGTTAACTTCATCAAAAGTATATGTAGAATTTTAAACACTTGAGATTGCTAAATATGGAGGTTTCCAGAGTTATCTGAAATGGAGGATTATCAACAAATTTCATTTTATGAACCATGCTCTACAAAAAGATATTTCCAAATACTTTGTATGACTTATGCTTGCAGAAGTGTTGATTAAACTGATGGAGGCTCAAAACTAACAGAAATAACTGCAGTGCACTGAAAGCCAGCACTCCGATTCAATAACTAATCCTTGAAAACAACCAAAAAGAAAAAAAGAAGAAGAAAAAACCACCCGTACAGAGTATAGTTGGAAAAACAACCATGTGATCAGTGTAGATTAAATGAGTCACAGGCACATCAAACACTAAAAGAATTTCCTGTCTGTAGACTGCAGGCTTCTCTGCAAAGCAAACGAGCAAGACAGCACCAGTCTTTGCACAGGCCAAAACTGAACTTAAGTCAGGAATCTAAATCTTCCTTTTCAACTGTGAAATCCCATTTTGTATACCTGTGAAACTAATGCACCTTACAGCATTATAATTTATCAACTCATGTATTTCACAGCATGGTGTGCAAGATTTTGTTTTTAAGAAAATCTGTGTTGACAAAAAAGTTAAAACCTGTTGTGTGCATGTGTGTTTAGCATCAAAAACCACAAATACAACAATTAAGCTTGCGAGAGGGTGTTCTGGTTAAGTATCACCTTCTCTGCATGCATGAGAAGAAAATGTTCTGCCAAGAAGATTTACATTCTATAATCTGTATGGAGAGGTTAATTAAAGTCAAGACAATATCCTTTCTATATCTGGAAACAGACTTGTTTGCTAACTACAGGAGGGCATATATTAAAGCTCCTGTTATTATTTGTAATACTCATCTCAAGAAACCCACTAAGTCTCAGATATTATGGTACTTAATTGGCAAATGACATAGATAAGAAGCAAAATATCATCAGGGAGTATAGATTAGAATGCCTGACAGTCTGGTACAGATGCCACAGCCAAAAGTGTAGGGAGACTAGCATTACTCATGAGTGGTGAAGCCAGAACCAGCTATGCAGGTTTTCTTAAGTGGGTGCCCATAATGTCATCTATATCACTACATCCATCTGTCTTTCACAAATCATCCACTCTGAACCTACTCCAGACCCATTTTAAAACCTTGGGTCTTCAATTCCAGCTCCTGATAGGTAAACAGTATGTAAAACAATGGTACTTGCAAAGTGCTTTTCATTTAATAAAAAAAAGTTTCCTCAGGATGCTGACTTGGTAACTCTGATTGTTCTCATCACTTTGATACCGTGAAGGAAGCTTTCTTTTTTTCCTAACGAAGCCCCAGTTCAGGTTACTATCATTGTTTCTCTTTTTATTTGAATCCATTATTTAGTCATGATGTAATTGTCTGGAAGTAATTGAGTGGGAATTGATCTATTTCCTGTTGTTTAAAGTATGCAAAGTGTTTATACAAACAGTAAACAGCAATGAAGAAGCATAGAGACTTACTGGGTGCTGCATTATATATGGTTGAGGCTGCATCCAAGAAGGACTCTGAACCTAGAACAAAAGCAGTATTTTTCATTTTAGTCATTCTTTTCCTGAATACTCCAACTGAGACACAGTAGTAATTTAACAAATAATGTTAACAAGCCCCCTCCCTTATTTATTCACTTCTTAATGCAGTCACTCTGTGGAGCAACAATGATATCTACGAAAACTGTATTTATTGTACCTGTACATCAGAAACAAGATTTGGAGACAATATACCACATGCACCTGTCAGAACACTACACTGTTGTAAGTGCAGGTCTCAAAAACTTTACCAAGTACACTGAAAGGGTTCAGACAGATCCATGAGAAAATTGTGATGTGTTAAAAAAGGACCGACTTTGAAATTCCTTTGAGGAAAAGTAGCTGGGACCTCAGAAGTTACAGAATTATTTGCTTTCTAATAAACTACTGGATTTTCAAAGGAGAAAAAGAAAACAGGAATTCTGCTGGACTCTTATTCCAGGAACAAGGAGAAGATTTAGGAGATTCATTCTCCAAAAACATTGCAGTATGAAGAGGAAGAGGAGAAGGTTCTGATGAGCTTCCCCGCTCTTGAAGCTAGCATGTTTTCTCTCCACAATCACTGACTTCCCAAATCCTTAAATTGGGATAGCATGCCTAACTTTGCATGAAAATGTAAAGTAAACAGATTAAAAGGTAAACTAATAGGTTTCATGGTTATCTTAGTTTTAAAAAACCCCAAACCCAGCTGATTGCAATAGCTCTTTGAAAAAGTGTGCTCCAAGAAATATTTAGAAGTAGGTATTAGAATGTTTCCTCCCCATCTCCTGCAGGTGTGTAGGATAAGGCAGGATCCTGACCTGTACTACACATGCAGACCTAACTCACCACTATTGCCAGGCATTCAAAGCCCCTTAAAAGCCTCTACCATCATTCTCAGAGTTCTGGGACAAGACAGGTAGACAGTCTTGAAAAAAATCCAGGTGAGGTATTTTCTGCAAGAAGTAAGTATTTCTTCCCTCCTTTTGCTACTGACTTTCAAATCTGAGTAATATTTTTACTTTTTCAAACAGAAGAAGAGCAAACAGGAGTTCGAAAATGGAAAACACCTGAACCCTCCCTTTCCTCAGGCAAGAGCTTAATGGCAAAAATACTGGTACAGCCTGACTAAAGCTTTGGCTGATCTACTCATACTATGATAGTACCTGGCTTACTACTGTCATTTGGGTATACAGGAGTTGCAGAAACAAACAATGGCCAAATCTTTATTAAATTTGTTTACCTTTAATAAGAATAAATCTAGGAACAGGTTATACCATGCCTCAAAGAAAAAAAATAATAAATCATGCTCTTATGATACGTTCTATTCTGTAGACGACAGAACGGTGCAGGTTTCAGTGAGAAGGGTTCAGTAACGAAGAAGTGACTAATGCTCAAATTGTGAAACTCTTCTGGCCAAGAACCTCCTCCCTCCCCAGTACAGAATACTTCAGTTAATTCTCAATTCCTTTTACTGTGGCACTTCAAGCATAATGTTAATAACGCCATCTACAATAATTCAAGCTCCATGACATGTCTGTTTAAATAATGCTAACAACATTCCTGCAAACATACAGTATTGTGGTCTGCCTATCTCATAAACCCAGGAAAGTGAGACTATATTCCTAAATTACGTTTCCAAGCCAACTTCCAGCTTTTACTTGGATTATGAATATTTGAGAATCTTATATTGAGAAACAATTTATATTTTAATAAAGAATAGCAGATAATTCTACTGGAATATTTTTTTCTGGGTAAGAACTTGCTGCAATTTTTGAGGTATTGCTGTACAAAGCAGAATGATTCAATATACTGAAAAATACAGTCCTGGCACTGTCTGCCAAGAGCAAATATTGTGTTGCGTAAGTCACCTCAGAAATTAATATAAAGTTAATTCAGCTGCCCTTTACCCCAGAGTACACTGTTTTCATTCCTACCTAACACTCTGCTCATGCAAGAAGGCGCTAAACCTCCAGACTAATTAATATTAGACAATTCTTCCTCTTCTCAGCTGGAATGGAATGGAAATACCTGCAAGGCAACACTGGCCAAATGGCCCACAGTGCCTCTGTTAGCCTTCTACATTAATTTTCGCCTAAACCTAGAAAACTTAGCACATCTCTCTCACTAAAACACAAACAGCCTCTTCTCCTTCCCCTGACATAGAGAGGTAAGAATTTTCTACATTTAATCAGTTTTGGTGATTTATCACCTGATTCACTGATTTTTACTTCCTCTATGTGTTAAATTGTAAAATGCCAAAAAAGCTGATTACTGAGATTACACTGGAATAACCGTCATACAGAACATGTGTCTGCAATTGCCATACAAGTTGCATTAAACATAAGTTATTTGTAAACTGAAATGTATGATGTCTTAAAACGAGCATTCTTAGGACCTGTATCCAACCGTTGCATATAATTTCCCAGTATGCTGAACTGTTTGTCAATATCCCCTAATAGGGACTCAAGATGCCATCTATCAAAATACCTTTCCAGGAAGCTTTGGACCGATACCCAGGAACAAGAAATGTGCATGGTTCATGTTTCAAATTATTGTTCAAAATAAAGTAACTTTTGGGTTAGAAATACTGTTCTACGCTATTAAATGCTTTAGTCCTGGTATAAAATCACTTAATTTGAATGCTAATGTGATTTGTGCTCTGAACTCTTTTTCAGATTTCCTTCTCTACTGTCTAGCAAGTTTCTGCACTCTTTACTCATTACAACCACGTAATACATTATTGTTGGGCCTTCTTTTGCACTGACAAAAACCTGGAGAAAAGTTCAAAAAGCATGGAGAAATATCTCTGAAAGAGAATTTAACTAAATCAAGAAGGTTTTAAGTAAAGAATAATTACTTTAAAGATGGGTTACTGACATTAAAAGAACTTGACCAAGAAAAAAAGAAAAATCGTACATGAAAAGCAGAAGTGGCTACAAATATCTTGGCTATCAGCACGAGTCAGTGACTTTGTTTTGCAAAACACCATGTATCTCATTCTATTGCTGTGCTTCCTGAAACAAACACATGGTTTTTAAGGCAATTTTTTTCATGCTGTTCGGCATAAAGAACCCCCTTCATCAAAATGAAGCATTATTGGAGAACTCATGAAACCAGATGTAGCAACTGATAAATAAACAGAAGCTCCAATGAACCATTTCAGCTACTAAGTTCCAAATACAAACCTGGTATGTGGAAACCGGAGAAGCGATATATGGCGTAATAGATGTCTGAGTGATCATTCTGTTTGCTGTAATACTGTAGGGTGATGGATAAAATCTAGAAAATTAAGAAATATTAATTAAATGCCAGCTCTGTGCATCTTTCATAATGCAGTCTTCTTTTTTTTTCTTAAGTGTACCAGTATTTAACATACCCATTTTGTAAAGCAGCTGTGGTTGGATCATATGTGAGTGTCATTCCAGCCTTTAATAAAGAAAAGGAAAAAAAAGTGGAAAAAAAGAGTTGACAAAATTAATTTTTATTGTAAATTTCTCTTACTCTTTCTTTAGTTGTACTTTTTAATTGAAAATTTGTATTGAAATAGTTTATTACTATAAGTTAGGGAAAGGTCAACAGACAAAAGTAATTATACAGTGAAGATAGTCAGCAATATTGGCTATGAATACAAGTTTCCAAGTTCCCAGCATGAGGAACAAAATGCAATCTATGAAATACCTGGCTAGTAGAAAATGTGTGCATTTGAGAGGCAGGGCATGAAGATGATTATGTGAGGGTGTTGCCTACAATGCATTAACTAGAAGAATGAATGGGGAGTGCTGTTTTTCAGAAGACACATTTGAATTTTTCTGTCTCATATAAATGAGGTGTCTAGGCTTGCTAACCGCAGTAAGCCTATGAAACTATTATCTTGAACATTAAAGATGCAAAGAGTTGTGATTAAAAAAACAATTACTGCTGGACTGCACTGGTACACTATTTTAATCTTATGAAAGTGATGTACATTTCAATGATGCATAAATCAAAGGACTGTTTTCCACATGTAAATAAAGTTATGTCTCAGGTAGTTTTATTTGAGAAATATCTCAGGCATATTCCTGACCAAGTTGAAGGAGATTTTATTGTTCACTTTAATAAGGTAGGATTTAGTGTTTCACATTTTGCCTTTTTTCCTCTTAAGAAAGATACAGTATTTTACAAAGCTGCAAGCTGTCAGGTAAGAATTGCTTGCACATTTTTAATACACCACAGCCAAGCCAAGAAGTCTCAATGCCTATCATTTTCATAAGTATTCATTATTGTACACCCACACTAAAGCTTGAAGGGAGGACTTACAAGTCTCACCTCGCCTTCTCTGTGCCATGCTCTTCCATTCTGTATGTATTTATTCTGATTCTGTCTCTTTTTCTGTCCTCCATCGGCAAACTTGCACAATAAAGGTTCTGCAGGAACTGAGAAGAAGGAGTATTAGTTGAAACAGTGTTCATACATAGACATTCAGTGCTTCAAATGAGGCATGGTTTTTAAGTTATATTCTCAATATGACAGTTAAATAACATGGACTCATACCACAGCATCAACTGTTCTGCATAGCACAAAGACAGCTGCCACACACAAAGAGAGCATCTGGAATGCCTTATATCTTTGATTTAAAACTCCTGCTTTAAAACCTGTTGGAAAGAAACATGATCTATACATCCTGAGCATGCGGCTGTTGGTCTGGGGATGAATGAGACTACCATCTGAACCCTTTGAGCTTTGCCTCTTAGGAGGTACATCTAAGGAGGGTGGAGAATAAATCTGGCCAAAGGTCTTTATTATATTCCCCCCACCCCACCCCTTGGAGGTTTCAGTAAGGTCCCAAAACTGAAATTGCTCTGCTCATCTAGAATAGCCAAATACGTCTCCACTTACTCTAAACCAGCAGGGTGGAGCAGGCACCTTTATCTTCTGCCACCTTGCACTGAAAAAATGCCACAACTGTCCATTCCCTTTTTACCTCTGCTCTATAAAGAGCATGCAATGAACCAGAAATTCTTCAAGACTTTTTTTTTTTTCCATACTGTCTCAAAATGCTATCTGTCACCATTCCTTTTTCCGTAATATAAGCCTGACAGTGATTTCAATTTATAACATCAAAACTAAAGAAAAAGAAAACTTTGCACAGTATTCTCTCCCTGTTAATAGCTTAAACTGCAATAGTTTCTGACTACCTACAGCTGAAGCGCAGCTCTGCTACATCACACCACACCCTCCCTAATAACAGGGTGGAAGCACTGTTATGATTTGGATGTGAGTGCTACTCTGCCAGTAATTCCTGATGCATGAGCTGTCTAAGCTTCACCATGACACTCCTCCAGTCATTCTCTGTTTGGAAACACCTTCATAAGACACAGCTGGATCTGAAAACATGTAAGTTCTCAAATGCAGAGTAAACACATGCGATGGGAGGGCCACCCACAAAAGAAAACCCCCAAGAAAAGTTCTAATATATCTGTATTGTGCAACAAAAAGAGCTGATGTGCTCTTCATTCTGCATGCTCTTACAAGAGATGACTGAAAACTTCAGAGACTTGTAACCTGGCAAAGAGCTTGACTTTTACGATTTTGGCACAAAACCAGCACTAATGGCCAAGACATCCCTGGCTTCGGATGGCATACCTAAAGCACTAGCTCTGGTTCTACTGGGGAAAAGGTACCATATCAATATGCTGATAGATAATTTGACATTGCTTTATAAAAGCTAGATCCTAAAAACCTCGGTCATATCACACAGCATTTTAAACCACATACAATTCTGTTGAAGTAAGAGGAGATAATGTCAGATGTTAGTCAATATGGGCAGAACTGTCAGGGCCTGGTCTGAAATTGTTTTGACTCGATTTTACACAGTGGAAAAAAACCCTATCCGTCAGAAGGGGAGAGCTGAGATCTAATACTGAAGTTAACTGCCTTAAATGAAAAAAGTCTTCCCTAAGCTGAGTATCTCTGGCTACTTGCAAATTATTTCAAACCAAGCAGTATTGTGGGAAGCATGTGTGACTTCCAAAATACACACTATAAATTACTGGATGAAGTTAAAAGAAACTGGCATGAGAATGGCTTATAAAGACGTCAGAGAACACCTAAAGGTTTCTAGCCCTGTGATTCTGTATTATAGCACTTGCAGGTAGTAAATACTTCATTCAAAGTTGCATTATCCTTTCATGAAAAATCATTACAGTGAACTGGATAAAACTTTTCTTGAAAGCATTATTTGTGCTTACATTTCCCATCACTGTCTCAAGACAAAGTTGTGTTTAGAAGTCGGAGTAAACCTGTCCGAACAGTTAGAATAAAATATTCACAGAAAAATATTTTAAGAATGTTTCTTTTTTTGGTGAGTCGATAACTGAATCCAGCTAAATTTTAAACAGTGAAACATCTTCTGTCGTCCTCTGCAAACACTCTCCTGATAACTTTAAAAAGGAAGAAAAAACAGAGTAAGAATTATCCACATGTATTAGATTCTGCATATGCAAAAACCTGCAGCAATGACAAAAATATTAAAAAGGCATTCATCTGTGATTTGCCTGGAGTTAGTGCTCCATCTTACTGAGCACAGATCTGATCATGAGAACCCTTGTTTTTCTTATCTTCCAGCTTCTCTTGGTCCTCACTATGTCCATAAACGAAGCCAAAAGCAAGAGCTCCAATTCACGTTAAAAACCACAACCAGTCAAACAACTTCCCTCCAAAAGACCCCACAAATACCGTCTATTTAATAGAGCCAACTGCTGTGAAAAGGCTCTACAGAATTTGCCTTCCCTGATTCCAGTTCAAGATCTGAATGCTGATAGTAGGAACTGCTGCAACTAACTCCAATTTTTGGCTGCTCTTCAATACATGTGACCTGAGTACTACTGCGTTCATTGCTTTCAGAACACAATGACTGACGGTCATCAGAGGGAGGGTCGTGAGAAGGAGATAAACCTTCATGGGAGCCAAGTATGACCTGTTGATCTCCCTCTCACCGAAGAATGAGTGTAGCCCTTACTCTCTTCAAAATCAAATCTGAAAGTTATTTCTTCAGCTTACCTTCCCTCCTATTTTTCAAATACATGACATACTTTCTCTTGCACATGCAAACATGTATATAATAGATATATTAACAAAAAACTCCAGCAAGTCCTACAGACCAGTCAGCAATCTTTTTTGTGGTCCAGGAAGGAAGGGAGAGTCATTTTTATTGTTTAATTGTTGGGAAGTGTGCAGGCCTCAGCGATGAAGGGGATCATTAATCATTCAGTGACTTGTCTGTATGTGCAAGACAGAGAGGCATTGTATAAATATTCAGAGTTGCATTAACCACTAAAAGACTGCTGATGTAAAAGGACACAACTTAAGAGTGGACTTACTTCTAGCTAAGCTAAGCAGCTAAGACACCACATTTAGAATGACAACTCTACTAACAATGAAAAGCAAAAGACACTCTCAGTGATTTGTAGATGTCTGTTGAGGTGCTGCTATGGAGGCATTCTGTAACCATAAGTTTTCCTGCACTTTAACAGCAGGTCAGTGATTTAAATGCAAAGAGCTGGCCATCTCCTCCTGCCCCAAATCACCCTCTTCTAGGGTTTTTTTTACAGAAGAAAGATGTGAATAATCATTTGTCCACAGAGTAAACACTTCTTGTCATACACACATGCACATGTGTAGATCAGAATTCAGTCTTTGTTCAGTGTCTACCCAAATATATACCAGGCGATCACAGAATCATAGGATGGTTAAGGTTGGAAAGGACCTTAAGACCACCTAGTTCCAACCCTTGCCAGGCAGAGACAATGATACATATATACAAGAAAAAAATATTGATGTTTTTATGTTGGACTTTATGTTTACACCCTTAACTTTACATGGCCAGTTTTCTAAACTTTTCAATAAACCCTGCTTTCAGATATTAAACAAATACAACAAAAGAGTCTTAAAATCCTATTGTTTTAATAAGTTCTCAATTAAATAGCATCCTTTAGTGACTTTCATTTCTTATTTTCCAGTGACAAAGCATATAAGTCTACTGAATTCTGACATTAAAACATCTCTTGAATAATAGAGCAAGCCTGTACAGCTAGTACACCTTTTGCGAGAAGCTGTGCAAAACGAAAAAGGTGTGCAACCCAAGATCTCAGTAGCTTTGTATGTTTGAAGAGAAATTAAACATATACTCTTTACCATTCTCATCATCACTTAAATGCAGTGCTCAGGGCCACATTTCTTTAATAATCAACACAAATTTTAATAATTTATCACAAGAGCATATTTTTAGTGGGTTTATGTAGTATTTTTCTATTCCAACATTGCTTCTTAAAACTAAGCAGCAATTATGAATATGAGAATTAGAGCTTCTCAAAAAGCTTCTCATCTTTGATCTAATGTGCAAAATTTTTGTTTCTCTGCCTTCAATGTGACAATCAAGAGTAATACCAGCACTGTGACCTCTTGATACATTTTAGCAGTGGTTTTCAGTCTGTTGTTACTGGATTATTTCTAAAGGATCTGTGAAATGTAACTGAGATATGAGTTTATGGTCAAGCAAATTAAATTCACTATATAGAGATCTGCAGTGTTCTTTTCTTTTTAAAGGTAAGCAAATAGAGAACACTCAAAAATGACTGAACACTCAAAAATGACTGCCACAAAATAACTACTTCAAGGCTCCATTTTACTCTTCTTCAGTAGGAGCAGAATAATTTCAAGCAGTATTATCCACCATACCTGGTGGCCCTCTTCCTCGCCTATACTCAAGAGAACAGGCAGAAGCAGGGCTCTCTCACCTGTCTTCAAATACCCTCCTAAAAAAAGTAATCTGAGTGAGCAATATCTTTACCATAAGTGGGAAGAGTGGGTCACAGACAACCTATGCATCACCATAACCCACCATTCCTGAAGCAAAAATGGTAGGAGCTGCTCATCAAAAATGCCCTCTACCTTAGACCCATTAAAACAAAATTATTCAGGTTATTTCTCAGAAAAAGAAGTATTAAATAACCCATAAAGCCTGTGCAACAGGCATAAAACTTTTGTAGCTTTCAACCTTCTGTATTTTTCATTTTAAATGCAACAAAACCAAACACATCCGGACTTACAAATACCTTAGGTATTCTACAGCACAACTGCTTCATGTACTCATTTATATAATTATTCTCAGATTATCATCATGCTGCTGCGATAGGGAGGAGATGCCTTTCATGATTTTGCCCAGCAAAATCATCATTATGGGACCAACACAAAACAAAAAGATTGTATCATCTTTAATATCATCTTTAAGTATCACCTTTAGGAAAGGGAGGCTATGAATGCTGCTCTGCCCTCACTACTCATCTTCTGCCTCCTGCTCCCTTATACTAGCCTACTCTGTTTCCTCCAATTCTTGTCATGAGCTTCACATTTCACAGAATAGTAAAGCTTTAAATATCACATTATTCACTGAAAATAATTCTTTAAAGAGAAAAGTAGAACTAAATGCAAATTATTTCAAGATTATAGCAATCACATAATAAACATACAGTTGAGAAAAGAATGAAACAAAAAATCAAAGTCCTAAGAGAAATGGACAGAAAGTCACACTCCATAAGACAGAACAAACTATTACAGTAACTTAGATAATGGAAGTACAAACCAGAACTGGAACAAATAGTGGAACTAATACACCACTCCTAGGAGTTTTAAGATAACGCCAACTTGCAGTGCATTTGAAATTGCTCTCTGAGCTAACCTTCCTTCTTCCTCACTGAAGACAAAGGAGGACATATTAAATATTGACTGTATTTCATTAATCTACTATAGAGCAAGGAAATAAAGCCTGAATAGCTTGTTCATCTGGGTTCAGCTTGCTCAGTATCATCAATGCCCAGTCACTCAATTCTACAGTCAACAGTTTTGTGACCACCCCATGCTACCTCTGTTCCTCTCAGATCCTCAGAGAGCTTTTCTGTTCTGTCTTCTCATGCTCCATGAGGTTTCACCTATGCTTCCTATAACTGTGTTTAACCCATTCTTCCATTTAAACCCAAACTTGATTAAAATAACAAAGCTACATTATGAAAGCTTGTTTTTGTTGAACAGATGTTCTTCCTCCCACACCTATTTCATTACAGACCAGTCTCTCCTACCCTCCTCATCCTGATAACAGTGTTTTTATAGCCAGCTCTCTTTGCTGATCTTAGCCAAATTTCTAGGACACAATGTTTTAATTTAAATGTAGTTCCAGTTCTACGATTTTATTTTGCATTTATTTGAACTTGCTCCTCTACAACCCTGAAGGATGCTAATCTATTTCAAAACATTTTCCTAACCTTTGTCCAAGAGCTTTCCCACTGTATCTACTTTTCTCTCTGCAGGTAGCCCAAGACCACATATGCCCCATGACTGCCCCGCTTTCTGGCAAACTGCAGCATATTATTATGCATAAGCTGCATCCTCTAAAAAGACTGCATTATCTGACATATGCTTGTGATGTGGTGAGGAACTACAGAAAGAATCTGAACTCCATAAAAACCTTTCAAAGAAGCAATTCAACTTCACAGCACCAGCATGGAAAAACAGAGTTGAGGCTGCACCCTATACAACAGAATTGATGGTCTTTAATAACCAAGGTTCTCAAAACACCCTTATGCACCTAATTATTTATTGCACTTTTCAGCACCATGGAGGTGTGACTCATCTCAACTGACTTTCAGACACTGAGAGTCACCTATTTCAGAGCGACTCATCTAGAAACTGTAACCACAAGGACAGCTGACAGCAAAGACACATCAGTCTCTTTGGAGGTATGTGCTGCTTCACCTATTCTAGAAAGAGAGCCTAGGCGACTACTTTGCCAAGTAAGCATTAAAAGTTAAAGTCCATGAGGTGGATTACATCTTCAGACCCCTCATTAGTTTCCATTTTCTGACAACCACCACTTCTGTGCAAATTTATTGTCCCTTATTAATCAGACTTCACTGCTAAACTTTCCTCCACAATGCAGAAAGTGCTCTTAGAATTCCATGCAGCAACTTTTTATTTCTACCCGGTTGAACCTGATCATGTAAGGGTGCAACTCCAGCTTCAGCAACAGCCCATCAGAGACAGCATGATTAGCAATGACACGCTTGATAACTTGTTCATTGAGAACACAGTAACATAACTGAAAATAAAAATGTGCAAGCTAAAAAGCACTAATAGGGAGTTCTGATACAGCTCTTTTTACTGGTTTTAATTGAAAAGAAACCCCTATATGTTAATTTGAATTCTTAGTTTCTCTATACTTTTTACTTGTATTTCATGTTCAAAGCCATAGCAGCACTATAAAATTAATCACAGAGGGTGGATCAGAGCACAGTCAGAATTCAGAGAAAATGGTTCTATGATCTCTTTGCCCCTAAAGGGATTTTCCATCTCATAAAACAGATTGCTAAATATATGAAATAGCAAAATAAATGTTACAGCCCCTATGTATAAAAGAGTTTCACCTAAAGAATCTCAGCAATCAATACCAATGCAAAGGGTCTGCAAAAGCCAAGACGGGGAAGTCAAAACCCTGCATTAGATTAGCGTTGGTGAAGGGAGTGGTTTCCTGTGCTCTGCAGCAGCTTTCCATCCCCACTGCAGAACAGACTGCCTCGAACTGGAGTAATCTTTCAGGGATGAGGCATGTATGTAGTTTTACTAACAAGCCACATTCTTGTCTGCCTGCCGAGGACTGCTCTCCTCCTCAGTGTCAGGGTCTGGCTGCAGAGAACATTTCACCAGCGGGATAAAGGCAGCTTCAGCAACCACATCAACAATGTAATTTGTAAAATTCCCACTTGGGATTCTCAATAAAATGGTTACCGAAAGCTGCCTGGAATGTCAGGCATGTATTCTCTTCTCCTTTATTGTCCTCTTTTCTTTCTGTTTTACTCTGCTGCTCTGAATTCCCTTTCCTCATTTTTAAGTGTTTATAGAATACATTTTGTCTCTTAGAAACAATGCTGACAAAGCAAACAAACTGATGAGGAACTTAGTGTGACAAAAAAAAATTGCACTGTGTACCTTCTCTGAATTTTGCCTTGCACAACATTTCCAGAAGTAGCATTCATTGACCTGCCCTTCAATCTTCCTGAAGAATCTCAAAGACTATGTAAGACTTGAGAGTCACAGCTTCCCAAAGAATGAAAGTGTCTGGCCTCAAGGCGCTGCTGCAGAATCTATGGTTTTTTAACCAAATCTTTTATGGAAAATTACTTCAAAAAATCAACAGATAGCAAAAGCAGTGCATTTTCTGCCTCTCAAAAAAAAAACCAAACTCAAGAAAATCCAAACAAAAAACCCCCACCAACCCAAAACAGACAAGCAAAACAAAACAAAACCCCAAAACAACCAACCAAACAAAACCCCACCAAACCTGTTCATGGACCATCAGCCAATTTCTGGCCTGATACACATACAACACACACTTGTTTCCTGACTTCAATGTAGGATGTAAAGCTGTGCATAGCTGGCTTAAGGCTTTCCAACCCTAACTATTCTATGATTCTATAAGGCATCTTAGCCACTTGTCTTTCTGCTAGGAGAGAACACTACTGGATTCCTATTAAAGGTTTATAGAAGTGATATACTGTGTTACAAGTGAGCAAGCATTACAGTCATCCAACAAGACACAGTTTAATAAGTCTGTTTCTGAATGAGAAGCCAGATAAACAATCAGGCTTCCACTCCACAAGCTGCAACCAATTCATACATCTTGTTAGAAATATATGCAACATACCAGAAACTCCTGCTGGTGTCTTTATGAATTTTCCATTAAAATGAGCAATCACTGCTTCACATTTTTCTGTTGACTCCATCCTAAGAAAATAAAGAATAATTTGCATAAATTAAACACTCATCCAGATTTCCATGTTTGTGATTTTTTAAAGCATGTTTCTTGCTTTTTCTTGCTTCATTCTGTGGCTTGCTTTCCCATGTATGAGCAACAGAGAAGATGCCTTCTAAGAATACACAACTTCAGAGAAGTAGAACTAAACTCCATTAACATTTTACGCACTCTGAGGCCCAAGTCAGTGCCAAACTGCCAATACAATGCCCTTATTTACTTAGAAATTAGGCAAAACATGACTTGGACAGCTATAGTACAAATTACCTATGCTGTCTTGAAGGAAGCAAAGACTGATTCACAATCACCCACAGCTGAATCCTTAAGAGTCTACGATATATACAACAAATATTAATGCCACTTTTGCCAAGGATTCTGAAGTGTGTGTATGGTTTAAAAGTAATAAACACAAATATAAACGTGCCTGACTGCATGACCCAAACTGCCTTTGCAGTTTTCACCTTATAGGTATCACCCCAACTAAATGATGTACCTGTCTCTTATTTAATTGTCTCCAAGTTACCTTCAAAACAGGAACCAGTAACAGAAAATCTGACTGCTACTAAGAATTCATCCAAAATCCTGAACAGGTTTGTGTGCTTATGTTGTGAAAACTAGACTTAATAGGCTGGGTGGACTACTTGTGAGCTACAGCTAATCTGGGAGTGGCTCCATAGGCTGCAGCTACATCCTTGCCCTGCAGTGTAGATGCGTCACTTCTAACTGCCAGCTTGGACTAAGTTGCAATAGATGACCAAGACATGCAAGTGTAACAAAGTTTATTTTAAAAGAATATATTTTGCAGCTGTCTGCAAGATGATATTTGGATAATACCGAACCAGTATTCCTTTTTATTTGTTCATTAAGTTCTGTAATCCAGTTCCACAAATTCGGCCAATGATCTCAGCAGCAAAGTAGCAGTACTAAAAATTACAAAGTTTTGGCACCATTTTAATTCTGATAGCCCTTCTGCACAGGCTGTCAAAAAAACAGTCATAGACAGCAACCAAAATCATCAAAATGCCAGACTGAGCAAGAAGTTTTCCTCATGGTTTCAAAAATACCTTCTAGGGAATTTTCACAAGTTTTGGATTGTTGGATCTGCATCAAACAATTATTTTTTTTTTTGTCTTCCATGGAGCAAACAATATAATTTAGCTTCAGACTCAAGCTTGGACTTGATAAAACACATTACCGCTTATTAACCTAATAAAATGTTTCCAAAGGCAAGAAATTAAAATCTTTACTTAATGACTACACGTTTCTTGGGACAACTTTAACTTGAACTAATAGTTATCCAAAAATATTCCAATACCTAGCTTACACAAGGGGAGAAATTCTTATTAGCTATGACAGCAAATCCTCACTCTATAACTTATGTGCATGTATGCGCATAAATATGTGCACAAAAATAACCAAGTTTATACACATATATATAAATAAACCAATGCATAATACAGAACCTATTGAGAAAATAATCACTTTTAAAGTCTTTAATACAAGTGAGGGTTTGGATACACACACAAGTCTTTTGGACTTTGACACACAGTTCTAAAACTCTTCTGGCTATATTAAAATAAAACCATTCCTAAAATACCACTGATTCAAGACAGAGTTAGTAAGCAAGTTTAGGGAGAAAAGACTCAATGCCCCTATATTTGACAATAGGAATATCCAAAGTAAAGCCTCCAAATTTTGGTTGCCATGCTATGTTTAAAGCAGGACTTAAAGAGAGAAAAGTACTAGAAAGGCACAGAAAAGGCTCTGATCAAGAGACCCCAGAACAAATAACTGAGTTAACTAGGGAAAAAGTAAGCTCATACAGGTAGAATATGTGGGAGGTATCTACTAATTTATAGAAAATATTTGTTCTTGTTAATTTGGGAGAGATATTTGACCAAGCTGGCAAATATTTTAAGGTGAGATTTACTGTAAGTGAACGAAAATATTTTCTTTCTCAGATGACAACATGTTAATGAGCCAGAAAATTCGAAGGGCTGACATTCAAAGGGCAATGGTGAGTTCATTTTCTCAGAGGAACTAATGAAGGGGAAAAAAAAAGGATGGGGATGGGAGGAAAGCGGTTCCTCCTTACAGTCTCCTGTCTCAAATTCAAGCCTCAAAAGCCAGAACAGTCACAGAAGAAGTCTCTGTAAATCACTGCATAACTCCTGCTTATTGGTTCAGGGACAGATCAGAAAAGAGAAGTACAGACAGGAGAAGGAAGTAGTAGAGAATGAACTCTTATTCTAGGTAATTGTCTATTAAGAGCAACAGATTCAGATTTAGCCATCTAAGCAAGATGAGACACAGCCATATTTGCCTTACCAAAGGAATAATTAACAAAACCCTGCTGGTATCTCCACCTAGATCTCACTTTACTTTAAAAGGTTGATAATTTTCAGTAATTTCTCCTATTCCTGTCTTTTCAATTAAAGAAAAAAGGAAGAAAGCTGCCAGCATGACTAATGCCACTGAAATACCTTGCAAAGCCAACACCACGGCTTGTCCCGCTTGAGTCCCGCAGTATCCTTGTAGAGATAACCTGCCCAAACGGTTTCAGCATGTTCTCGAGCTCCTGCTCATCCATTGAAAGCGGCAAATTGGAAATGTACAAATTAGTTGGGTCTTGCTCTTGTTGCTGAAAGAAAATTAAAGCAAACTGTTATTACTGCTGCCACTGGAAAGATATTTTGAATATGAGATATAACAACAATTACATGTAACTACTACTGGTATATATCTTTACTTCTCAGGCCCCTGTTCTTTCCTAGCATTAGTGACCTCCATCTTCAATCATACTCTACAGCATTCCTGAGAAAGCTACCCTCCTCCTATTACTGCTGACAACAACATTTTTAAGTGCAGATAAAGGTGAATAATTGACTAGTTTACAGTCCGTATTACAACTTCAGCTTTCAGATTTCCCTAAAAGGAAAAAAAAAAAAGGACAAAACGAGGAATTAGCAGACAAAGCAATACAAGAATGGTGGAAAGAGCTGAAAAATGCCAGAGCTAAATAAAAAGAGAAAATATTGGAAACAACCCATCTAAGAGTATGTACATTGCCAAAATATTACCACAAGAATAGGCTGATACAGAAGTGAGTGGGACACTGTCATCTTCTCCCACATAATGTTTTTGAGTTTTTATCTAACTTTTACATTATGCATACAGATAAAAGTCTTCCAAAGCCCTTCTACAGAAACAGACAAAATGACAGAGCAGCACAGGATTGAGATGAGCAATTAAGAAAGAGATAAAAGTGGTCATGTCTTTGCCATTCCCCTGATCTGAGGGTATCTACATTGTGTGATCTATGTATGCGCCATGAAATTCCATCTCAAAGAAACATTTTTGCTGAAAATTATCATTTCCAGCGTTGGTCTACAGATTTTCCAGCTGTGGTGATTAAGCATTTCTCTCATGCTGCTAAGTGTGGGCCATGCTACATGATGAAACAGATTCTTAAGCTACACAGAACTATATGACTTGGCCCTGACAGTTGTGCAAAACCTTGATGTCACATTGTGGCTTCCCGGTAGAGATCATTATATTCAGAACTTTTTGGCATTAGGAGTGATACAATCTGAAACAAACACTATTTTGTTGTAAGAATCCTCAGCATATTTCCATTCCATAGAAGAGGGCTAACTCACAAAGAAGTTCGAATCAAACCAGAAAACAAAATATAAAACCACAATACTTGCCTACTAGAATTAAAGCATTTATTAGAGTGATTATAGCTGCACAGATAATGACACCTTGTTATATAGATTAGGTATCAATCTGTCCTTAAACTGTCCTTATATCAGCAATATCTCAGTGCCATTGGTGGCATATTGTATAATTTAGTAACTTGCTATCCTGGATACCACCTCTCAGTTGGGGTTGGTTTCCCTTGGAAAAAAGAAAGAAAAGGAGTTGGGGGCTAGGGGAGGGTGAGATTGAACCTTTTTAGGCACAGAAATGAACTATTCTGTTCCAAAGAACTAATGAAACTTAAAAATGGGGAAGCAAATTCTATGTTCATGGACCTTCCTTATTTGCACTTTTACTCCGAGACTGAACTAGAAAGGGCTAATGTTCTGATGTTTTCTGTAAAGGTTTTTTAAGGAATTTCAGCATCAAAGGACCTATAAAAGGGAAACAAGCTCCCGTTGCATCCTTCTGATCTGCTATGCCTAGCCACACTGAAATCCCACATACCTTAGAAAACACAAACTTTTCCAAGTGCCAAGTGTTGTCCTCATCAGTCCCTCTATAGTCCATTGCAAATGGCACTTGACTATCATGTATGTTTTTCCTTTTGGTATCTACTGGAAATATTCCTCCTCCCATAATAATACCGAACTTATACAGTACACACAGAGGTTTGTGATTTAAATTATCTTACAGTATCTGACTTCTTTTTCAAGTTAGAAAAATCAGCAGAAAGACAAGAAAACTGATTCACTGTGAGGCCACAGTTGACATTAACACTTCTTGCTGGGGAGTTTCAACCATGAGTGAAAATCTATGTTATACACAGTTCAAATTTCCTCAGGAAGGAATCTGAAATGAAGACAGCTTTCACATTTTGGAATTAGTTTGTTGCTTAGACTGTAGTAGCCAGTTTTGTTTTGCACCTTGAGATATGCAGGCTTACCCCCTTCTTTAATGAGCACTATGAGCAAAAGCTTTACAAGGAGCTTTCAGCCATGGCATTATAAAATCGCATTTGTAGCTATAGCATAATTTTCTGAAACTCTAAGTAGTATTTGAAAGAAAAAAAAAATTCTTTACTTTTTATTATAAGCTGTAAAATGCATTGAACACAAATACCTTAAAATTTCTCTAAATAACCTAAACCTACAAGTTGGGAAATCAGACCCCTTGTATATTTTAATCTAATTTGCTCATGTTTTTATTCTATAATAACAAAAGGTCTAAACTACGTTATAAAAATGTTCTCATTAAAAAGCCTAACAACATTGCGAGAGATAAAAAAAATGCCCCATTTTATTCACACTAATAAAAAAGTAATTTACATGCAAGAAATAAATGCTTACATTCAGAACACCTAATAGAGAAAGAAACTGTCAACTGCAGAATGTCAGAGCAATCTGTTTTATTTAGGTAACTGAGCAGATCACATTGCGCTTTTCTTGGGCTCCTATTCTAGCCTAGGGGGTTACCACACTTCCGCATTATGCAGGCATTGTATTCAGGATGAAAGATCATGAGCTTTCCTTTCCAAAAGGGACAGAAAGACCTACAACAATTCATGGTTAAAACATGAAGATCTTCCTCCATACATGCTGGGAAGCTTAATTCTTGTACCTATGCACCCAGCAAAGGAAACTTCATGCCACAAAAAACAAGTAACAGCATTGTGTGAGAAGGGAACGCTCTACTTTGAAAGATCATTTTCAACTTTACCACTAACCTACATTGCAAATCCCTTTGGAACGGGGCGGCGGGGGGGGGAGTGAGAAGGAAGTGCATCTGAGGAAACTGCTGTAAAGAAATTGCTTTCTCTGAAGAGAAAGTATGTTGTAATGGAAAAAAAATGACTTGTGGCCCATTTAGCAATACATATTTTGCATTAGCAGCTACTGGGTTTTGGTCAGGTGCATGGATGAACAGGTGACTGGAAAGGACTTTGCTTTCTTGATCCTTCCTCTGTGTCGCAGACTATTACAGCCTGAATTCTACCAGGGATTCAGTTATTACTGCTTTTGATCCTTCGACAGGACATACTGACCACAGTGGAAAAAGAGAAGCTTGAAAATACTTTTACATATATCCATAGCTAGAACCCATAAGATGGCAGATATGGGTGAAGAGGAGCAAAAAAGCAGCCAGTGGATAAGGATGTTAAACTGAAATCCTGGAATACGAGTTGAAATTTCATTCATCTGCAATTCTCCCAGGACAAAGTAGTTGAAATGTCAACAAACACATTCCACAGTGCAACAGGGTTGTATCTGCACTGCAGGAGCAAACCCACAGCCATCCCAGGGAGCAGCAGCAGTTCAGCTACAAGGACAAATCAGAGTCACAGAATATCTCAAGTTGGAAGGGACTCATATGGATCATCAACTCCAACTAAGTCAGGATAGATCAAATTAATCCACAATCCACTTCTTCACTTTGCAGGGAAAAAGCCGAACAAATGAAACCAAAGAAACCCTGCCATCTCTAAAAAGCTCATTTACGACACTGGGATAGTGCTGTTGGGGTACATCTAAAGCAAGGCTGAACTCTTTCTAGACTGCATTTGAAATTGTATATAGTTTGGCAGTGGAAAAAAAAAGTGCAAAACACCTCCTCTCATTAATTACTTACGTCACTGTGCAGCTTCTGTCATCACAAGACTACTAAACCTTAAAACAGCTATCTGGGTACATTCTGGGAGATCATAAGCAGCAAGCAACTTCCTTCCCTTAGAGCATGCTAAATTTCCAAGCCAAATTCCAAATGGCAACCACAACTAAGACTCCCCATGCATCTTTATCCTGTCTTACACAAATGGCACCATACAAACAGATGTTTGCTTTTATACAAGATTTTGGCATCGAAAATGGTTAAAAGGTTAAAAATTCAGGAAGTTAGGAGAGAGACAAACTCTTTAACTTGTTCCCCATCTCCCTGGCAAACAGCAGTTTAATACATTAAGTACTGTGACTTCCTTCCTTACCGAAACTTGCCTCACCATAGTTTAATTCACATGGTTATTACAGTTCTGTTTCAGAAGAGAAAATGATTCCTTTGATATCCAAGTTTCTAATTCTTATTCTGGAATTCCACAAAAAAAATGAAACTGTCAAAAATATCTGCAAACATAACTCAACTCAAACCTTACCTATACACTGTAATTAAGTGCTTTCAAAGGTAGGGTTTTTCTCCTAGGCTTAAAATTCATGAAATCATAGGAACTGCTTTCATCTTATAAATCTTGTATCTCTTGAAAATATTTGTACCATTTTAAGGGAATTATCAAAAAGAATTACTGAAGTCAGTTCAAAGCTTCCTACACCAGGGTAGCAAGCTAACATTAAAATAAAGACCACTGAACCACTGAGGGTTTGGTGGTTCTTTATTTTTAATTCTACATTATTTAGGAAAATTGCTTATTTTTAGAGTCTTCGTAAGTCACGGAGGGTTTCCCCAGTTAACAGAACTTTCAGCAGTTCCTGAAAGTTGCTGAAAATGCTCAATATTTGCAGAATATGGGCAATGTCAGGGAATTTGTGGGCTACTGTAAACATCCATTTTAGTGAGGAAGCCAGGAAGCCTTGGTTTTAGCAATTCATCAAGTTTCCATCACCTTTAGCTGTGCCTCCAGAATTCTAGCAGAACGTAATAATATGAAGATGCAGAACAGTGCTCTTGCAGATTAATGCACTCCTTTCTAAAAAGCACTTACAACACTAACTTAATAAGCTGACAACAAGACACAGTACTTCTCATAAAAGGGATAGGAATAATCAAGTGCTAATATTCATTTCTGTAGAAAGAGGTTATCGGGAGTCTTAAATAATGCAAAATGCTCTACCATCATCTGAAAGAAATTAACGAAAACCTCCCTGTGCGTGTGGAACCGTTCCTAAACTGCAAGCAAGAAACTTGGCAAGACGATACGACATCTGTTTTCTC